AGAAAACATGACGCAGCTAAAAACAACAAATGTGTTAACATTTTAATATGTGAAGATTATTTCCTCTATTACACCTGATTGTGAGGGAAACATATTTTTCCACTGTCATCTCAAGTGTAGGTGGTGCTAGTTGTGGTGTGCGTGTGGCTAACTGAAAACACAATTACAGAAACCTGGATTTCTTTGCCTATAGCTGTTCTCTCCATACTAACAGTGAATGAGTTCATCAACAGAACCTTGGCTCTGCCTTATTCTGTAACTGAGCAAAGGGTGGCACCTTCTGGAGAAATGAGAGTTTTGCAGTATACCAAAGAGCATTTTCAGTGGGATGCACATTGGCAATACTATCTGGAGCATGTATGTGTACAAATGCAGACATAAGTAAGAGATATCTATGAGCTATACAACATGAAGGATTTCTTGTGTTAATGTGCATATGGATTCACCTCCAGCAGCAGAAAAGGAGGATATGCGCTGGTGTTGGCAGAAACATTAAGGAGACTGTCCATTAGCAGTATTCGAATGAAGTCGCACACTGGCTTCCTGGTTTGACAACTTTTGAATGTGTCCTGATCGTCCCTCACTGGGGAAGGCTCAGCAACACTCTGAAAGACATGACCACACCAGTGAGTAAGACTAGAGATAATGGAATATTGAAGGGCTTCATGAACAGAGGACATACAAACCGCTGAGCTGTCCAGAGGGTAAACAGTTCCAGCGAGTGCATGGAGGAAATCTGGAGATACCCACAGTGGGTCTCTTGGCCGAAGGTTATGGAGAAGACAAAGAAACTGCATGACACTTGCTGGGAGCTGCAACTCCCAGGATGCATCAGTGCCTGGCGTGCACTTCAATGGAGTAACAGGCTGGAGAGGAAAATGTATTACACGTTACCAATTTGGGGTGAAAAATACTGAGGAGATGCAAGATTTTTACATTCTTACCTGAGTAATGACAATTTTGACTAACTCCAGCAAAATTGTGACAGCTTCAACAGAGAACTGATGAGCAGGAGCTTCTGCTTCACTGTCAATCATTGACTGTAGGGTATCATCCAAATGCACCTGTAGATGAAATGTAATATAAAAATATTATGACTGAGATGAGGATGAAGATTATTCTGATAAATTCCTAAAAACTCTCACCTTCCCATCCACAGTGTGACGGGTTGTCTTCTCTAATAGCAAAGCAGCCAGAGCTTCATACACCTGAGGCAGGTGAGAGTGTCTGATCAGCAGCCCCCGTAGAAGATAGAACCCTCGACATGAGGTGCTGGGGTTCTCGTATGACCATGAATGGGCTTGAAGTTTGTCTGGAGTCATAGCAAGAAAAGAAAGATTTTGGATGAATATAGGACACACAAAATATTCAAAATCTTAGAAGACTATGAA